AGAGTATGTGTTTATATAAGTGTGTGTGTGTGTATATGTAAGTGAAAGTGCATATGAGTGTGCCAGTGTATGTTCAATAAGTGCGTGTTTGAGTGTGTTTATGTATATGTGAATGTGCAAATGAGTGTGTGCGTATGTTAGTGTCTCAGCTCTTCTTGCTGCGGTTGTTGAACAGGTTTACTCTGCTCCTGGTGCCGACACTGTTGTGCGTGACGCCGGGCTGCTGCAGGACTTTATCCAGCGTGGTCTTCTTGATGGCTGCGGCGGAGATCTGCTCCTGATCTGCCAGAGACTGAAGCTCCCTGACACAAAACACACACACACACACACACACACACACACACAACAAGTCAACACTGCAGCACGAGAATGTGTGCTTTTTCCACAGTTGTATCCGTCTTTTAGGGCAACACAGTGGCTCAGTGGTGTAGCACTGTAGCCACACAGCATGACTCTGGTTTGAGTCCCGGCTGGGTCAGTTGGTGTTTCTGTGTGGAGTTTGCATGTTCTCCCCGTGTTTGCGTTGGTTTCCTCTCGGTGCTGATCACAGCTGGTGTCCAATTGGTGTCGCATTATCCAATTTATGATTGACCAATCAGACGATTCCTAAGCCACTATAAACACCCTCAGCTCCATATCACAGCCATCTTCATCTTGAAGAATCCCCCCTCCACCCCTACTCCTCCTCCTTTCCTAGATGGGTGGCACGGTGGCGCAGTGGTTAGCACTGTTGCCTCACAGCAAGAACGTCACTGGTTCTGTTCCTTAACAAGCCAGCTGACATTTCTGTGAGGAGTTTACACACTCTCCCCGTGCTCACGTGGGTTTCCACTGGCTTCCCCGGTTTCCTCCAACCGTCCAAAAGCATGCAGCTTAAGTTAACTGACTAATCCTCATCAGCACATAGACATGCTGCTAGTCAGTGGTTATCTCTTAAGAGCGATCACTATCTGTTCATGAGCTACTACAGCAGGGGAGTTCTCCACATCTACCTGAGCTCAAACTCCCCTCTCGCCCTGGAAATGGGAGGGAGCCCCGGGCTCGAGGATCTCATGAGCTCAGGGCTCTCTCCTGGGACAGCATGCTGAACACGCTTTATAATCAAAGTGAACATTAAACAGTGACCGTGTACTAGCAAGTGTGTGTGCAGTGTGTTAGTGAGTGTGTGTGGAGTATGTTAGTGAGTGTATGCAAGTGTATTAGTATGTTTGTGTGTGTGTACCTTGTGCGTATGCAGGACGCCTCCACAGCGTTGATCAGCAAGCTCCGGAAGCCTCCGCTCTCCAGGAAGTGCAGCGCGTGTATTGTAGCTCCACCTGGAGAACACACATTATCCTTCAGCTGACCCGGGTGCTGCTCACTGTCCAACAACATCTTCGCTGCTCCCTGAACACACACACACACAAACAAACAAACACACAAACACACACCACAGATGAACGAAAGAGAATGCTCCAACAAAGAGGAAATATCCAGTGAGCGGCAGTTCTGTGGGCGCAAATGCCTTGTTGATGAGGCCAGAGGTCAGAGGAGAATGGCCAGACTGGTTCCAGATGGGCTACAGCAGCAGAAGAGCACACCGGGTGCCGCTCCTGTCAGCTAAGAACAGGAAACTGAGGCTACAATTCACACAGACTCACCAAAACTGGACAATAGAAGATTGGAGAAACGTTGCTGCTCTGATGAGTCTCCATTTCTGCTGACACATTCGGATGCTCGGCTCAGACAACATGAGAGCATGGATCATCCTGCCTTGTATCAGCGGTTCAGGCTGGTGGTGGTGGTGTAATGGTGTGGGGGAGATTTTCTTTGGGTCCATTAGTACCAATTGAGCATCAACGCCACAGCCTACCTGAGTATTGCTGCTGACCATGTCCATCCCTTTATGAGCACAGTGTCTCCATCTTCTGATGGCTACTTCCAGCAGGATAACGCAGCATGTCATAAAGCTCAATCATCTCAGACTGGTTTCTTGAACATGACGATGAGTTCACTGTACTCAAATGGCCTCCACAGTCACCAGAGCTCAATCCAATAGAGCAGCTTTGGGATGTGGTGGAACGGGAGATTGGCATCATGGATGTGCAGCCGACAAATCTGCAGCAACTGTGTGATGCTATCATGACAACATGGAGCAAAATCTCTGAGGAATATTTCCAGCAGCTTGCTGAATCTCTGCCATGAAGGATTAAAGCGGTTCTGAAGACTAAAGAGGTCCAACTTGGTACTAGTCGTAGTAGATGTACCTAATAAAGTGGCCGGTGTGTATGTGTATGAAAAATGTATATGATACGCACCATTAGAGCCTGAGCCCCCAGACGCACAGCCAGCCTCCTCGGCAAACCCATCTTCACCCCACCATCAGCAAGAGCATCCAGAGCCGTGAATGCCTGACACACACACACACACACACACACACACACACACACACAAAACTGTGTTAAACTTCTTACTAATACTTACTTTTAGACAACACAATAGCAAAGTTTTACCTTTAAGAGCAGTTAAAGGCACAATATGTAGGATGTTTTGTCCTAAAAGCACTTGTGTGTGTGTGTGTGTGTGTGTGTGTGTGTGTGTGTGTATATCTACATATAATCCTCCATGAGCTGTTATGTGCTCTAAACCTGCCGGAACTACTTTATCTGTGCCTTTGTCTGACAATAACCAAACACCTGAGAGTGACCATCAGCCAATCAGAATCCAATATTTAGCAGTCTAGTGCATGCGTGCGTATGTGTGTGTGTGTGTGTGTGTGGATGTGTACTGACATATGCGGGTCCGCTGCCGCTGAGTCCAGTGACGGCATCGATCAGGTCCTCCTCCACCTCGGTGCAGAAGCCCACGCTGGCCATCAGCTGCTCCAGCAGTTTGCCGTCCTCCAGATGTGCGTGTGTGCCTGTGGCGTACACCGTCGCCCCCTCGCGCACCACCACCGGGGTGTTCGTCATGCATCGCATCACTTTAGGAGACTCACGGTACTGCAGCAGCTTCTGCACACACACACACACACACACACACACACACGGGAGAGAGTGAGTGTGTGTCTTCTCATATGTTTGCATGTGTGAGTGTGTATTGCGTATATGTATGCGTGCATGTGTGTCTGACCTTCTCTATAGAGCTGTTGTGTGTGTATATGTATATGTGTGTTTGCATGTGTGTGTGTAAATGAGTGAATGTGTACATTTATAAAAGTATGTTTGTGTAAGTGTGTGTGTGTGTGAGTGAGCATGTATGTGTGTATTTGTTTCTGTTTATGTGTGTGACCTTCTCTATGGAGCTGATAGTGACTCCAGCAGCGCAGGACACGATGAGGTGTCGGTCTTCAATATCGGGGCCGATCTCGTCCAGTACAAACGGGATGATGTGCGGCTTCACGGCCAGAAACAGAACGTCGCTCCTGTGCGTCGCTTCTTTGTTGCTTGTGGTCAAATTCACCCCCATTTTCTGAAAAAAACAGACCAATGTTTAGACTATAAACAAACACACAAACACTACCTACACACACACACACACACACACAAAATCAAACACACACACACAAACACAAAAATATATATATATATATATATATATATATATATATATATATATATATATATATATATATATATATATATATATATATATACACACACACACAAAAAAAACCACACAATCAAACATGTACATACACACACACAAAGTCAAAGACACATACACATACACACAAAAACAAACACATACATATACAAAAACACACAAACAAACGTGCGCACACACACACTTCACTCACCCGCAGGCCTGAGACAGTGGGCAGTTCAGTGTCTGGTGAACTCGCTGTGATTCTGTTTGCTGCAATGACACCTGCACACACACACACGCATGCACGCACACACACGCGCACACACAAACAAACAAACACACACACACGCACGCACACAATATGACAACTGCAAAGAACTCTGACTTCATAATGTGTGTGATTTTAATATATCTGGGTTTTGAATTGACTGGTTTTTGAATAGACATTGGTTTGTGTTTTAATCCAGTTTTAATAGCAGTATTAAGCATTATTAACGAGTTGTAATACTGTAAAAGAACATTTCAAACCATCTAGACAAAGACAGGGTGAGTGCATGATATGTGCATGCATTCATATAAAAATGTCAAATGCAAACACGCTTAAATTCTGAAAATAAAATTAAAACAAAAAAAATGGAATATTTGAATCTAAAGAGTGAATTACAACACAAGATTTAAACAAAATATTACCAAAATCAAAACGGAAATACTATAAATTAAACCTGAACAATCTAATAAAAGCACTGAACGTCATAGACGACAAAAAAGAAAAGTTTCTTTAAATGTGTTAATTTCAGCAAATAAATGATCTTCGAAACATGAACAGCTATCTCAGATCTAGACAGATGCAGACACTGAACTGCTTATAAAACAGAATATGAATAAAAGATGAGTCATGTAAACAGTATGATGGTCAGTGTTTGCAGCTATTTAATTACCCGCTGCGGTGAAGCCCTTGACCATGGCATGAGCCAGCTGACCCGCTCCAATGAAGCCCACACTCATCCTGATGAAGATCGACACACACACACACACACACACACAATATGAATTATTAACCTTCTGAAACATTCATCATTACAAACCTGATTCAACTTCAGCATTCAAAACAGACGATTCTTCAGTTTCAAACTCCTCACCTCGACTCTACTACTGCCATAACCTACACAATCACTAATTATTTTAATTAAAGAAACTTCCACAAGAGAAATACAAGAGCAATTTACAGCAAATCCTGTTGTGCTTTTGAACCCAAACACTGCCATTAATCTGTTGTGGTTGGTCTACAGTTGCTATGGTAACAACAACTATAGTGATTGATCCGTTGTGATTCTACAGTTACCATTGTAACAAAAACTACAGTAATTGATCTGCTGTGGTGATTCTACAGTTGCTATGGCAACAACAACTATAGTAATTGATCTGTCGTGGCGATTCTACAGTTGCTATGGCAACAACAACTATAGTAATTGATCTGTCGTGGCGATTCTACAGTTGCTATGGCAACAACAACTAAAGTAATTGATTTGTTGTGGTGATTCTACAGTTGCTATGACAACAACAACTATAGTAATTGATCTGTTGTGGTGATTCTACAGTTGCTATGGTAACATCTACAGTAAATTATATCAAGGTTCTTCTATAGTTGCTATGGGAATACATTACCTATAGTAATGAATTTCTTGTGTCAATTCAAGTTGCTATGGTAACAACAAATACAGAAATTGATCTATCATTCTAATTTTACAGTTGCTATAGTGATACCATTTCTATAGTAATTAATTTTTCGTAGTGATCCTGTAGTTGTTATGGTAACAAAACCACAGCAATTAATTTATCATAATTCTGTAGTTGCTATGGTAATACAATAGATATAGTATTTATTGTGGTGATTCTGCAGTTGCTACGGTAAAAAACACAGAATAAGAACTAAAGTAATTGATCTGTCATTGTAATTCTACAGTTGCCATGGTAATACAAGAGATCCTGTAATTAATTTTTCATGGTAATACAGCAGTTGCTATGGTAACTGAATAACTCAAGTAATTGTCATTGTAATTCTACAGTAGCTATAATGATACAATACATGCTTTAATTTCTCGTGGTAATTCTGTAGTTGCTATGCTAGCACAACTATAGTAATATGAACAAATACTGTAGTTTTCTACAGCTATAGAGCACTTTGAGGAATGCAAACAAAAACAATGGCAACACATTTCCTGATTAACAGTTTTAATTTCTAGAGCTTCTGAGAATCCAAAGAGACACATATTGATATACAACTTTATGATCGCCGGCTTGATGACCATGTAAAAATGTGGGTTCCATGGCCAAACCAGTAGAGAACCACTGGTCTACAGGGTAAATTATACTACAATAGGGGAGTGCAGGGCACAAAGTAAAACAAGGTTAAATGCAAGGTGGAGTTTTAAGGTATTTGTTCAGGGTTAACCATGGCATGCTTCTGAAGTTTTCACCACAGTGTCGGCAGACATCTTCCTGCCAATTATTGAAGAATTTCAGTGAAATTTGGATGAGAAACTAAGCTCTAAAGTGCCTCAACACACCTGCCTGGATGTTTCAAGTATACCTAGTGAGAGCTTGATCAGCTTGTGCAGGTGTGCTTGATTAGGGTTGGATCTCACAACTGCAGGACACCGGCCCTCCAGGAACATGTTTGGTGTCCCCTGCTATACCATATACAGTATAATAAACCTTACTATAGTATGGATGAAATACACTATAGTATTTTGTTCAAGCAGGTATATAACACACACACACACACTCACAGTGACTGTGATTTATCAGCAATTATCAGATGTAGTCTGTGCTCCAGTGCAACATAAAGCTCAATAACAGACTGACCTTTGTTCAGTAATTCCTGAAGCGCAGTGTTATTGTTATCACACACAATACAACACCTCAGGCGTGCTGATGATATTGTTATTATAATCAGCGCATTTGAATAATCACTCCCGCTGCTGCAGACTCACACACGACCATCGCGAAATCTCCCAATATTTCATATAGAACCGGATTATTTCTCACCTGCGCCGAGACTGAACTTGAACTTGAGATTGTTGTTGGAGAAGCTGTAGAAACACCAGTGATGTCAACGTGGCTCCAGCGCTTCCATGTGCAGCAGCTCTGCGCTCTGACTGACACACGAGCCGGCCAATCATAGAGCAGATGTCGTGATTGTGACCAATCGGCGCTTCTGAAGCGCGGAGGGCGGGGCTGGGAACAGAGCGGTCTTATTGCATCAGTTCCTGTGCAATAAATGCTAGATATAGGTCAGTGTGTGTGTGTGTGTGTGTGTGTGTGTGTGTGTGTGTGTGTGTGTGTGTGTGTGCGCGGACACGTCACTTAATGTTAACGCTTCACACTTTACAGGCTACTGTACAAGGCAAACTGTAAAAGAAATGACTTCACAGCATTGAATACAATAATATAAACAAGGACAGTGAAATAAGGAGACACGTTTTGTGTAGAACATTAATAAACAAACAAATGTTACAATAAATATGTTAACATATAGATTTTAATTGTTAAATGTATTTCTGTTTTAAATTGGAGACAGCATTGTTTATTTAAAATTCAACCGCTTTACAATAGAGGATGAATCTGGATGTTTGCATGTTTGGAAGTTGAAATATTTATTTGTTTGTTTGTTTGTTTGTTTGTTGAACCAGTAATGTGCCATTGAGATGCAATATCTTTTCTAGCAGGGAGTCCTGGTCAAGACAGGCAGCATAGGACAGAGTTACAAATATATATATATATATATATATATATATATATATATATATATATATATATATATATATATATATATATATATATATATATATATATATATATATATATATATATATATATATATATATATATATGTGTTCGAAAATTACTCTATGCGACCTCAAAATATATTTT